CAGAATTGGCTGATCCTACGGTAATTCCAGGTTTTGTTTTTTTGAGGAAACACTGTATCCCAAAGGAGCTGCATCATTTTACAATCTTACAGGAAATGTACATGGGGTCTAATTTTTTCCACATCCTCAAAAACACTTATTTTCATTGCTGTTTTTATAGTAGTCATCCTATGGGTGTGAACTATGTATTTCACTGTGCTGAATGCCTTTTCAGCTTACTGACTAGCCACTAGAACATCTTCCTTGGAGAAACGTCTATTCAAATCCTTTGCCCATATTTGAACCAAGTTGTTTCATTTAATTGTTCAGTTACAGGATTTCATATATTCTGGACATTAATTCTGTATCAGACATATGATTTACAATTTACTTCCTCTCATCCTGTGGGTTGTCTTTTCACTCTAGAGTGTCCTCTGATGCACAAGTTTTTCATTTTGATGAAGTCCAATTTATTTTATTTTGTTGCCTGTGCTTTTTGTGTCATAGTTAAGAAATCACCACCAAATCCAATGTCCTAAAGATTTTCACCTGTTTTCTTCTGAGAGTTTTATAGTTTTAGCTCCTAGGTTTAAGGTCTCTGATCCATCAAGTTAATTTTTTATAACTGTAAGCCAAGGCTGGCAATTTTAAATTCCTCTTCTATAATTGCCTGTTCATATCCATTGCTCATTTGTCTTACGTGTTCAAATCTATCAACATTTTTTTCAAAGGCAAATGCATTTTGGGTCTTGATTTAAAAAGTCCTCCCCTACCTCTCAAATTAAAACTGTATTTTCTAATATTCTTTCATCACAGGTACTGCATTTCTGCTGCCCCACTGTTCAAAGTGCCATCTTAGGTTGACTAACATCATTTTAAACTTATTGATTAGAACAGACTAAATTCTTCCACTAATGTATTCAGTTATTCAACAAAATTTGAGTAACTCTATGGCCAGTCTTATTAATTTTCATGAATAGTTATTAATCCTAAAAATTATTATAAAGCAAAGCAACTCAGGGCTGAAGGTGGCCCACTACAGCTGGTTAATGACCAACTGAAGTCTTCAGGTTCATTCAGGTTTCACACTGACTACAGATACCATCAAAACACAAAAGGGAAATTTATTCCAAGTGACTAACTCACACCTCATGTTAATGAAGGACTAATCTCCCCTCCCATTAGATTAAGAGTGTGGAACCAAGTAAATGGTTAGATATGCTAATCTCCTAAAAGCTATCTTGTAAATCACTGAATAGATCTGCTTCTGTGGCCATTTTGCTTTACTTTTCAAGCTTATCTATGCTAATAAATCAAAACTCTAAATTACTAAATAAGAAACTTCATAATTAAGGTCATTAAACTCCTCTGGACTGGCAGTTATTTGGCCAAAGCAAAGGTCTCTTGCCCATTTTGTCATGTCACAAATCCAGAAGGGAGGGCAGAGTTAGGACCGATTTAGAATGGTCAATGGGGTACCAACCGGTAAAAATCAAATTTTAGGTTTTTAAGCACATCACTATCTCTGTTACTTTGTTATACGGTTGTTCAGGAGAGTAATCTTGCCAGTAGATGATCAAATGTTACCCTAGCAACAGATACAGATCTAAAAGAAGATACACGACCTTGTTTCACCCTACTGAACACCAGGATTGTTCCCTATAAAACGGGAGCTTCAGATTCTCCACACTCTGGCTTCTCAAGCAAGCATTTGAATTTATCTTGGGCTCTTTTTCTCAAAAGGCACACTGGCATTTTGGCATCTAAATCTATTGTTGGTATCTTTTAATTAGATTCACAACAAATACAGAATACTTTATTTCTGTAAATACATTTTTTAAAACATGACCACTGCAGGTGTTTCCCCAACCTTTAACACACTCATTACCCTTCTTTCAGGTATTTATCCTTCTACAACAAATATTTACTGACTGCCTATTATTTTGTCAAGAACTAGAGACAGAGCAGTGGTAAACAAAACAAAGACCTTGCTCTTGTATTACTTAATACAGCACCCTACCACTGATATCCCTAGATAGAGCTTAGCTATACTATCAGCACTTATTACCAAGAGTCCAAAGAGTCTGATCTTACCAGAACCATCAACCTCTCAATATAAATTTATTGGTTAGGGCAAATCCAAACAAGGAAATCACTGTATTGATGAGAAGAGTCAATAGGAAGCTTAACTTAAATAACATGGATGTCTCCATTAAGGAAAAAAATAGATTTCAAATTAATGAGCAGTTCACAAATTTAGACTAAGTGCTAAACAATCTGAAAAGATCCAAATAGTCATATAAGAATATTGTCTTCAATTCGGAGGCAAGGAGTACCTGCAAAGATTATACGATTTTCCCTCTATCAATAGTCAATTCCAAAGTAATCAAGGTTCTTCCTATAATATCTACGATTTGTCAGGAATTTTGAGTTACTGGAGTCCAAATTAATATAGATTTGTGTCTTTCATTACCTACAGTTTTAACGGAAACAATGGCGAAGCTGCCTCTAACACCAGGTGGCAGCATTCCGGCTCCTCTTAGCTAAGAGATATACACCACCTTCCCATGCAATTATGTTTTAAGGAATAAACTAAATTGTATGATAAACACTTAGCCCCAAACCTGGTACACAGTTAATTTTTAATGATGTTTAAAAAGTTTGTCAGGAATGGTGCTTATAGCATGGAGGGAGAGGGCAGAAGGTGAAACAAGTTCAACATGCAATTAACATCTAACCCTAAACAGTTTAATTAAAGGAACTAAAATTAAAATGTGTAAGTGTTGTAATAAATAAAAGCACCCGATGTTTGGGAAACACAGAGACTGGGAAAGGTTAACGGACATTGAGAACCCAACGACATTAGAGCTGGCTCTTAAAGAAAGAGTACGGAGTTCAACAGGATGGAACGGAAGAACAAACATGTCCTTCTTTTAAGCAAAGGCTCAAAACATGAAAGAATGTAACATGCCCTAAGAAATGTACAAGTTTGCAAAAGATGAATTATGGGGAATGGTGGAGATCAAGCCAGTCAGACAGGCGGCAACCAGACTATCAAGTACTTGCTATGATCATCTTACTAAAAAGTATGGACTTTATCCTGTGGATAATGGAAAACTATTAGAAAATTTTAAACAAAGAAGTTAACACAATCCAACCTAAATTTTATGATGATGCCACCATAAGTCTGGGTAGAAGGAAGCAGAGCAGTTATCAGATAGTTATTTCAAAAGAGATGCCCTGAGTTTCAGTAACGGTAGTAACAATAACCAGAGAGAGGATATATATATATACACACACATAAGATACAGAAGGCAGAATCCAGGATTTGTCAATAGACAGGTAAGGGTAGGTGCAGATGAACCTTGTTGAAGAACAAGGAATAGCTGGGAGAATAGTGTAGTTACTGAGAACCTAAGAATAAATTGTGGGGAAAGGGAGGAATCTGGGACACATATATGCAGTAGGAGTTAGAAATAAAGATTTGGGAGTCACCTTTGTAGACAAAGCAGCCACAAGAACAACTGTTCAGCAAAACTGTTGAGCAAGAAAAAAAAGAACAAACCACAGGAAAAGGCTGAACGATACCGATATTTAAGGAGGGCAAAGAGAATTAGTAAATTGAAGAGTGGCAGTATCCCAGAAGCTAAGGAAAGAAAGAATTTCAAAAGGGAGGTAAGAGCTAAGAAGTGTTAAATAAATGAACAAGAGAGGAAATGAGACAAAGACTTTTTAAAGGCCACAGGATTTTAACTGACAGGATTTTAAAATAAAATTTCTGTGACCAAATAATCAAAATTATAAACCATTAACATCCTTTAGAAAGTTCTATCACATTAACAATTACTGCATTAATTCAGATTTCATCTCTCAAGAATTCTCTTCACCAACTTAATTCTGCATCAAGGTAAATAGGACTTACACGTATGAATGCTGGTACAAACCATCTTAGGGGAATCTGACATTTGGAACAACCTGCTTAAGGTTTAATGTATTAAAAAGACTATACGATAAAAGTCTGTGGCTTAATATGTAACCACTACTACAAGAGAAATTCAAGTAACATGCATAAAAGGAAACAAGAAGCAAAAGAAACCGAACTATGAGAACCCTTTGTCAACAAATTAATGTGAAATAACGAATCGGGTAATAGATTAAAAGCTTAAAGACTCATCAGATCCATGTAGCATCTCCCAAACTCATAGGACGTTTAAAAGTTTCTCAATTGTTACTGATGCTAATCTGCCAATTAGTCTGCTAATGGGTCTTGCCCATAATTTACCTCCTTAATGCCTTTTAATTGCCTTTATTTCTTAAAACGCGTTATTACGTGTGAAGTTTAGTAGAACTGTGGTCCATGCAGATATAATTATCTCAGCGCTCTGCTTCTGTTGTGTGTTACCTCCCAAGTAGTTGTTGCCACAATTTTTCTCTTAACTCTTTTAACAAGCTACGGTTATCAGCACTGAGTTGTATAAAAACACAATTTGGGTTGCAAAGTTTAACTTCTACTCTTCAGATTAAAGTTCTAATTCAGACATTAAGACTCTATCTTATGGCCCATGACACAGTTTTCTAATTCACAAATTAAAACCAATAGTTGCACGGTATGCAGAAATAACAAGCTTTAAAATGTCTATTCATATTATATTCATATTAAATTTTAATTAACAGAAAATTGAGACCATATCTGAACTAAACCATCATGACAATTATTACAAAACCTGAAAATTATACAAATATGAAGGGACAGTCCTTTGACTTTGAGAAGTTATTTAAACCATTACTGTTATAAATTAAGCACTTGACTTCAAAGTGTCGAAGGCAAAAAACAGTGCAAAAGCTTCATAATTAAAAATTAAAAGAAAAAGCTAAATATGGCTAACTCTAGACCTAAATCTATGCAGTAACATTCTAAAAGACTTTTAAAGAGTCTTATTCAAGCTAATGGAGATAATGTAATATAATCAAAAACTCAGAAACTATAGTTCAACGTGCATCATCTAGTAATAATGGCATACCTTTTCTTTCTGTTTTCTGTGCAGGGACAGAAGATGTGGGTGTAGGCAGTTTTGATAAAGTAGATGCTCCATTAGCATCAAATGATTTCTTTGGCTGGTGATCAGACTGTAGCGTAAATGGACTAGAAGGAAGAGTGCTTGGGGTAGCAGTTGGATGAACCACTGGTTTGATGGGGTGCTGTACTGGCGTAGAACTACTGTGAGTCTCTGCTCTTGGCAGTCTGTAGTCTCTGTCATTGTGTCTGCTTGTTTGAGACAAAATATTCTGTGGGAGCAAACTACTGGCATCACTGGAATGCTTGTCTTCCACTTTAGTTCACAGTTCGAAAAAAGAGATGTTGGAATGACGGAAGGGGGAAGAAAAAAGATTACGTTAGAATCCTGTCTTTAACATCAGCTAATTTAGCAACATACCTGTACTTGTATCTTGATATAAAACTGCAAGCCCAGTTAGTATCTGCAGTTTTACCACTAGCATATATAAAAATCCAAATACTGAAAGAGAGAAATTTTAGCTCTATTGTAATTAAGCATTAATCTATACTCAGATTTCAAGTGGGCTACTAGTTTCGGGCGATTCTTTAGAACCACACCACAGTTCACACAAAACATGGAAAAAAATAAATATATGGAGTTATAACATTTTACTCAAATGAAAACCTTTTTAAATATTTTAAAATAGAAAAGGGAAACGGTCCATTCCTTTAAAATATGGACCACAGGTTCTAATAATTGAATTATCCACAGTGGTTCAACTGCAAAGGAATATTAGCTTTATTAGCCTGATTGTTCTGAATAGTAAAGTAGCTAACTAGTGGTCTCTAAAGTAGTTTGTGCTAGGGCTTAAATGACCTTATTTTGGGATGGCTGAATTTATGATGTACTGTGCTTTCAAAACATAAATCAGTTCATATTTTTAATAATGCTAATAATACCATTTAGTTATAAACTCAAGTTATAGATAATGCTATCTGAAAATACAAAGCCTATATCTGGCAGCACAGTCAGAAAATTCTACTCGCTATTTACCAGTTCTATTAAAAATATCTCCTTCCGATTTAAAGTCACAAAAATATTTAAACCTCAGAAATATTCTACTTCCAAAAAAGAGTACAAGGAAAATTTCAACAATCATGATAACAAAATTTGGATTTATCAAAAATTCTATAGCCAAAATTCTAATACTCTAATTTATAACTAAAAAATTAAGCAACTTTCAAGTAGAGAAATATCTTAAGATTCAAGCACATATGCAATATTACCAAAGGATGCCCTCCCTGTTGAATATTTTAGTTTTTTTTCCAATTCGTGGTTCCTCTGAGTCTAGAGATCAAGACAGTGCAAAGAAGGAAGTATACTGAAACTACAAGTCAGTTTCCAAATCTTCAGTGCACAACTCCCACATGTTACACTAAACAAAATGTACTGGGTACTGCCAAAAAAACCTTCAGTTGTACGAAAACACAAAGTCTTTTGACTTAATAAATGAAATTCAATGTTGTAAGTTACACATTAACCTTAGCAAAAAAAAAAAAAAAAAAAAAAAAAAAAAAAAAAAATGAACACACAGATTGAGCTATCAGAGTAGAATACAAACGTCTGTTGCATGATATTAACTCATTATTAAACCGTCAACTTGCATGCAGCACACGAAACTTAAGAAATTTTGTTCTAGAATGTCTTCCTGGGAAGAATACCACTACAATAGAAACTTTTCGGGACAGATAAAACAAATAACACCATGCCCAATTCCCCCTAATCATGTCACTTGATTACCAAGAACTTTTTTTTCCTGGACACCAACAAAAGTCCCTTTCAGTTCTGTATGACTGGAGTCAAAGTACAACAAGTAAATGCATTCAGATGAAAATTAAAGCTGATACTTCTTCACTTGTAAGCTTTAGGGAAAAAAATGGCAGCAGGATTACAGGAGCTAAGGAAGTAGCAGCTGCAACAACTTTCTATTATTCACAACTCTAGACAAAACAGTTAACTCAATGACTCTGCTTGCACACCCCCCACAACAAAGACATTTGGCAAATGTCTGCAGACATTTTTGGTTGTCACGACTGGGGAGAGAGGAGGTGTGCTACTGGTATCCGGCAAGTAGAGGCCAGGCACAGTATACAGGTATGGAGGACGGCGTCCCACAACAAAGAATCTCCCAAGCCAAAATGTCATCGGTGCTACTGTTGAGAAACCCCAAATTAAGGTTTCTCTAAGCACAGAGCAATCATTCTATGAGGCACAGATTAAAGACAATGAAAACCTAGCAGCAGTAATGTCAAATTAAAAATTTTATCCAGAAAGTTTTCAACGTCAAGTTCTGGATAACATTATTTGCTATAGTGCAAAAAACAAATCTATTTTCTACCTTGATGTCTTTACATATAAAACCTTTCCATCTTGCCCTGCCTCGCCCCACACATTTTATCGGCATTTATGAACTACAAAGCTTTAGGCCTTATCCTATATGAACACCAATGCACTGGACATATGGGAAAGTTGCCAACATTTTTTGGATAGACCAAGTTAAGCACTGAAATGGCATAATGACTTCATTACTACCACACTTAAGTACAAATCAGTTGATCAATTAAGGAAAAATAAAAGGAGAAAGTCAAGGTTTTTCTCAAACATTACTTAAAACTAAAAAGGTGTGACTCATGACTGTATTTCAACACAAAGTCAGACCTACTGACTCATCATTTGCACTTCGAGGAATTTGGCTGAGGAAGTAATAATAGGAATCGCAGCACTGTTGACATTAGGAAAAGGCAAAAAACCACCTAAGTATCTTATTTATATATGAGGGCACAACCAAAAATGGAAACCCATGCAGCCAATTTAACACATATGGATTTATAAACTGACATAGAAACATTTCCTTGAAATACTACTGAACAAAAGAAAAGATTAAAAGCAGTAACATATCATCCCGTATATATATATATATATATACACACACACATATATATATATGTATATATATATATATATATACACACACACACACACATATATATATGTAGTTTTTATAAACATTTGTAAGCATACAGAAAAAAAGTATAACCCCAAATGTTCCTGGCTGACGGAATTTAAAACTGACCCCTCTAATTTTTTAACAATAAACATGCCTCACTTGTGAAGTTATGGAAAAAAAGGAAAAAACTATTTCATCTTTGAAAGAAAAAGATGCACACAATTTAAAAACTGATTTTATTTCCTTAAAGGTGGTTTATTAAAAAGACAAAAAAATAACATTTTCACTTCTATCATTATTTGCATCAGATCTTTACTTCTCTCATGTACTCTACCTCAAGGGAGGAAAAGAGACTTAACTGATAAGAGTATTTTGGAAAGAATAAAGCAGACACACTACGCTCTGTTTTCCTATCCGGGAACCATGAGCCACTGAGAGGCCTGCCCCAATATCTTAATAAAGTTATTATTTTTACACCCATTTGCCACTCCTTCTCCATACCTCCTAATCTCCCTTTTTCTGCAGTTTGTTCGGGAGGCCCATAAGCAGGGTGCTATTTTTTTTTAACCTGGAAAGAAAAACCTTTATCTCATTTTTGATTGTTTGCCAGAAGTCAGTTACTTAAGGTAGTAAGTGAAATGGACCTAGAACCCAAGCCTTCTGTCTCAAAATACAATAGTTTTAATTTTACTTCAGTACTTTAAGTCATTGTTTTCTGAGAATTAAGTACAATTTCACGAATATAAAAAAATTAAATGTTCCAAGGAATGTAAATTAAACATTCAGTGCTGAAGAACTGTTAACTATCTGTTTCACCTTAAAGTTTTTCCCATCAAAAAATCAGCATCCTCTGCTGAGACCAAACACATCCCCTACATAAGTTACAGGAGGAAGATTCAAATGCTTAAGTCCAAGAATTTCCAGAACACATCTTTTTAAGATTCTTCTCAAAATTTCAAATTTGACAAAGAGCCTAAAAATTCTACAGTGGCATTTAAATTCTATTCCAGGCAAGAGAAGCCACTGGGAATAGACTACCACTAGTAAAAAGCTTCAAATTCAAACTCAATTTGAATTAAGAAATAAAAGTATAGGACTCATACTGTCCCACTTAGACATAATCTGACCTCAAAAAATATTAAGGTATGCCCACATTATGGAGACATTATACAGATCTAGGATTATGACAAAATCAGTATCCAGCTATGAGGATAAAAAAGTTACTCCCTGATAAACACAAAGCACCGATATTTGGATGTCACAATCTGTGTGTGGCCACAAATCAATAATTAGATGGAAACACTGAGTTTTGGAAGGGATTTCACTGTCCAGTTTAATAGGACACAATTCAGGAAAGGTGAAAAAACACAAAACTCCTGCCTTAAAAAGCAGTCAGTCCACATTATGAAATTTTATTTCTCACCAATTCAGCTGCATTATAGCCATTATGAGTAGTGATGAATACATAGATGTACTATTCCTCTGTGCACCCTTTTTCTTTTCAGCAATCAAAATGGTGGAGGTTAAGGGGACAGATCTGACATAAAAGAAACCCTGTATGTTACTATTATTTTAGTTTACATATGTAAACAGTTATGCATACAGAGATAAATACATGATCTATAGGAGTGAATCAAACATTATACTGTTGCAAAGACAATAATTAATACTTACTTCCACTGGCAAACCCACTAGTGGCTGTTGCTTGCATCACCTCCCTTCTGTAATCCCTATCTTTTGGGAAGCTATTAACTGCCATCTTGTTTGCTTCTTTTTGTCTCTGTTCTCTAAAAATAAAACATGGATAAACCCATAAAAATAATATCAAGTACAATGAGTTTACATGTGCCACTTCTCAACAAATGGTCAAAACAAAATGGTATATGGAAAATAAAAGAACTGAACACAGCCATACTATCAAGTGGTGTGGAAGATGAGAGAGACATAGCTAACAGAACATTAATGTTTCTCAGTGATGGCAATATTATAGCAATTATTTATATGCCATTAACCCTACAACCAAAACTCTCCAATATTAATTCTACATGTATGAAGGAAACATATTATCCTTTAAGAATTATAAAGATCTCTATTACAAATTATAAGACACATAAATATAGGATGATATAAAATTATAATTAAATATACTGTTTACAAAGTCCTTGGGGACAGCTGCTTATCTGTCCAAGTTATTTTTTTTATTTTAAGAGAAATTATAGAAAACACAATGGGCCAACTCCTAGAACTAAAGAGGAGAACGAGGAGTTTCACTATAAGAAATCTAAACTCAGAATGTTCTAAGATATTAACTTGTAGAATCAAGAAGAAATATTTTTCAATAAGAGCAAATACCTTTCAAGCCACTCTTTTGGTTTTTCCCATTGTGAAACTTCTGTTCGACAATTGTAGTAGTATTTTTTCCCAGAAGAGCTAATATGCTCAGACCAGTCATCTGCAGAATCATAAGGCTTAAAAATACATTTTTACAAGTTAGAAAATGTTAATGCTAATCAATCAATATCAAGAATGCCAAAGGTTTTCAAAGCATATATATGGAAAAAGACTATGAAACAAAGGGATCTTGATCTAGAATGTAATTCTCTGTATATATATCTTAGGAGACCTTGGTCTACTGAAAACCATCAAAAATAACAATAGAAAATCCTATAAAATTAAACAGATTACATTAGATTAGGCACAGAATAAGAAATGCAAAATTAACACATCTTGACTGTAGAAAAGCATTACAAAAAGTTCCCCATTATTGTAATTTTAATTGCTGAAATCCAGTCATACGGCAGCGGGAGGGAGAGTGTTTTAGAAAACCCACTCAACTGACTGATTTGATGACAGGACAGTGCAGCAGTTCTAAACTCATTATGGCACAACAGTACTCACATACAATGTAAGAGAGAACATCCTGCCTATATTAACTTACTTAGTGGAAAAAAAAGGCACAAAATTAAAAAAAAAATGTAAACACAGCTTTGTGCTATAAATTTGTTTCACCTTCAAAATCCATGAGATGGGCCAAGTGTTAGCTAAACCTTGTCTAATACACAGGGTCAGCAGCATCACTCATTTCCCTGTAACAAAAACCAGCCTTTCAAAAATTCTCACATTCTCTAGGTATTTTATAGATACTGTTAAATTATAAAGAAATTAGAAAAGTCTGAAAGGAGGCCCCATTTCCATGGAACTGATCTCAAAAAGTATGAAGTCTAAGTGCCTGCACTGGCCCCGGGAAATCGGATAGGTTTCCAAGTGTACTTCTACATGAAGTTGACTATTTTCTCAAAGGAGCTTTGAGATCAAAATGAAACAATGTCATACTTTGGTAGTCCACACTTCTTCTGGGCTCACCGGTGTAAACTGAACAATTTTAAAGCTTGAGGAACAAACTCTCATGCCCTGCTTTAATTTCACCAAGTAGGAAATAAGCCTAGAGAACTTACAAGTTGTCCATAGGTCACAAAACTAATTGTGACAGAAAAAAGGGTCAACACCTGTTTCTGGATGCCCATTATTTCCACCAAATCAACTCCAATTCTAAATAGGTCACAATAATTTTGAGGGTAGATGAAAAAATATTGCAGATTCTGCCACATTTATGCTCTTGGGAGTATGCTCCCCAAAAATGAAGCTACTGGAAATCACCCATGTGCCTCCAAGCTTCTGATACCAGTGGAAAGTTAACTCTCAATCCTTCTAGTTTCCAGAAGTAGCCTACAAGTACCAAGCTGCAGGAACCCAACCATGGGAGATTGAATGCAGAGCAGATGTGAAGTTCTAGGTATCTTCTATTAAGACAAGCGTTAAAGAGATAATTCGGTTCTATTTTTTTGTTTTATAGTTGTTTTTCATAAAAACATTACATACGCTAACATATAAAGGGTTTACAATTGACCAATTTAAAAATTATTTTTCTTATTTATCAAGTTTTAATTTTTAATATGGCAAATACTGATAGAAGATAAACAAAGGCTCTCAAAACTCATGAATGTAGAAAGATCTTGAGAAAGAATGAAAACAACTGCACTTAACGAATAGTACTAAACAGTACTCCATAGGCACCATCTGTTTTCCAATTCAAAATGTCTTTTACGTCTTATGCAAACACTGCTTTTCTCTTTTTAAAAAAGCATATCCCTTTCTACTGTCTTTCTTGGAATACAGAATCCCACTACTTCTTCCCCAAGTGAGATCATGGGAAAGAAATGGTTAATCTTGGAATTAACCTACGAATGGTTATTAAGGAACAGTTCACTGAACAACAACATCGAAGACGGCATTTACTGTAACAAAAGAATTTCATGGAGTCCTAAGAATTCTCTGATAAATTTCTAATTTTTAAAAAATTAAGCTGTGGGGCGCGTGGGTGGCTCGGTCGGTTAAGCATCCGACCTCGGCTCAGGTCATGATCTCACGGTCCGTGAGTTCGAGCCCCGCGTTGGGCTCTGTGCGGACAGCTCAGAGCCTGGAGCCTGTTTCGGATTCTGTGTCTCCCTCTCTCTCTGCCCCTCCTCTGTTCATGCTCTGTCTCTGTCTCAAAAATAAATAAAAACGTTTTAAAAAAAAAAAAAATTTTTTTTTTAAATTAAGCTGAGTATCTTTGGGCAAGGCTGATTACAGAAACTAGATCTTGAGGGCCTCGAACTGAAAAGCTCCAAAATATGCAGAAGATACTTAAGCCATAACAGTAGAGCTGATATATAAATGCCAAGTCATCTAGGACTGACTTCAAACTAGGACTGAATCCCTAGCAAATCAAAATTGGTGGACAGGCAGAAGGGAAGATACCAATTATGTATTTAAATGGGAATAATTTTTTTTTCTAAATGAAGCAATTTAGAGGCCTCTTAAAAATCACAAATATGCATAACTAACCTAAAATAATCTCCATGAGGTAAATCCTATTATGATTTAGATTAGGGAGGAGGATGCATTCAAAAAGCTTTTCCTAGTTACCATGGGCTCGGTTCTGTGTTAAACCACAATAAATGTTCATCTTAATCGAATACTGAAAAAATAAGACAACTTCAATTTGATTTTCAACAGTTTATAAATATAAATCACCCAACAATAAAATGTCTTTGTAGATAACTAAATAAGATTTTCAAAGACAGATTTAAAACGTGAAAACTTCGAAGAGAAAAAAGAACTACTTTTTTAAAAAGTTATTCCATATTGTGTTGACCTAAGTTACCTAATATTCATCTTTTCTTCCATTATGAAAATATTAAAGACTAATTTTATGTTTTATTTTCTACTCAAAAACTTCCATTAGAAGTGATTTGAAGAGAAAGTCAGTTTACAACTAAGTAACATGCAGAAGTTTCAAAAGCTAACTTCTCAGGTAAGATTAAATTTATACTTTATAAAACATGTGTCATGCCCACTGGGTACATTATAATAAAAAAGACACCTGCTTGGAGATTAATTATATACCTATAGTTGAAATTTACCAAAAGGGAAATCCTGATTCTGAAAACATGTAACACTTAATTCATTCCATTTCAGTACAGTCTTCAGCATCCACCCACATAATGAAATCCCCTAACATGATTTGGGTTGATGAAACTTCTCTGATTGCTCATTGTCATCTTGGAAATCAAAATAACCAGAATTAGTTTTCCTTGAATAAAGATTCTGTTTAAACTAATGTCCACATGGCCTGCCACTGTTAACTGTCAGCAAATACCAAATCAGAATTGTGAGTGATAAATGGAACTTTAAGTTATTGCTTGTTACTTTGTAAATTAATGGAGCCATTTTCCACAAAAAAGATTCATCCTAAAATCCTGACTATACACCTTAATGGAAATGACTCCTCACAAGTAGTTTGGTAAACACCGGTTAAGGTTTACCAAGCTGTTGTCTCAGTCTCGACACCACACTCCTACTAAATTTTTTTTTTAACGTTTATTTATTTTTGACAGAGACAGAGCATGAGCGGGCGAGGGGCAGAGAGAGAGAGACACACAGAATCCGAAGCAGGCTCCAGGCTCCGAGCTGTCAGCACAGAGCCTGACGCAGGGCTCGAACTCACGAGCTGTGAGATCATGACCTGAGCTGAAGTCGGATGCTCAACCGACTGAGCCACCCAGGCACCCCAACACCAACACTTCTGTGCTGTTCTGTGATACTGCAAATTACATTCTATTT